AGATGGGGAGTTACGTACCACGACATGGACCCGGATATGCCACAGCAATTGATCGTCCAATTTTGCAAATCATACGCTTTATATCACAAGTGCTACGATATGTCTTCCCGTCCACGCCACAGACGGCCCGCTCCTCGACAATGGGCGCCTCGTCCGGCTGCCCGTCGCCGTCCAGATCGTATGCGATGTCATCCCAGGGACAGTCGATTTTGCATGTGATGCAGTGGGGCATCATGTATTGATCCTCGACGCAGGTCAGACCATTTACGCACTGGACGCCATTGCAGCTAGCTGTGTGTGTGTGTGTGGGAAAGAGAGAAATTGGAATTTAGTTGAAATTGTTGAGAGGAAATTTTGTTGAGTAATATTTATATAGGGGGAAATGGAAGAATGCTATGGAAGGCTAGCTTAGAAAGGTATGGAAGGCACCCAAAATAATAGAGGAATTGATATTTAAGTATTTTTTAGTAGGGAAATAGACATAACAGGGTAATTTAATAATGGAGCTTAAGGGAAATGTTTAAGAGACTTAGCTTTATAGTAGGGAAAATAAGGAAATTATTGCAAAAATCCTGGCTAATGTATTGAATGAAATCGAACTGCTATAAATAATGGGAAATGTGTGCTCTCTCTATAAATAATGGCAAACATTCAAAATTAGGAAAACATAGTGAGACCTGAATACATTTTATATTGGTCTATAATCTGATATATGCACGTTTTATATACCATTTATATTGACATTCGTATTAATACATTTTACGTAAATGTTTAAAAATTCTATAAATGCAATGATATAAAATTGGGAAATTTGGTGTTCAATCGAAGCAAATTTTTTTTTGATTTTGGCAATCAAATTATTAATTTATTTTTATTCAAAATCATTTTTCTCTTTTTAGTACGATTATGTTACAAATATATTTGTAAGTGCGTAGGCGCATAGATTTTGAAATATTTATATATATTTCTTAAATTATGATAAAAATTAAAACATTTCATTAATCATACTTTTCTAGCCAACACAAATCGTGGGCAGCTTATTTAAGGCTCACTTCCTGTTTTAAATTTTCCTTGTCATATAAATCTCTTTTAAGTATTATCATAAATATATATTCATAAATATATTTCAGCTAATCATATATAGAAAATCCATTGACCTTCAGTTCGCTGGCAAATCTCTTTAAAGGCCACAGCCAATCGAGGGCTGGCGCATTTCATGTAACTCTTGGCAGCTGTAGCCACAGCTATAGATGGATATATATACAGTATATACAAACATAAAACTGTCAAACTTGTCAAATGTTTATCCGTATATATTTATATAGATCAGCTTGTGGTTATATAGGAAGCGACATTTGCCTATGCCAGTTTGTAATATACGTTGACTCTAGAGGCCTCTATATATGAGCATAAATATATATGTACATATATGCTGATTATGCTATAAATAACTGTTTTTGCCAATTTCTATGATTAGCGTAAAGGCACATATATACCTATATATAAGATATATATATGCTCAATATGGCTGGCTATAAACTGTCAAATTTATCATTGCATATGGCCCGTTGAAACGCCTTGGCGCCAACTGTGACACTCGCCAAAGAAATTGCATTCATTTTTCTGCACAAAATTACGAGGCGCTTGGCAAGAGCGCGAGAGGGAGAGGCATAGAGTAAGTGTGTGAGAGAGAGAGAGAGTGAGTACGATCTGCATGGCCAGATCTTTAGATTGCGCGATTGCACATTCCACAAAAGCTGGAGTTGGAGTTGGAGTTGAAGTTGGAGCACGCGCCAACATTAGATGTTGCTGCTGCCGCGGCTGCTGCTGCTGCTGCTGTTGCTGCCACAGCCGCTTTATGTCTTGCCACAGCAACAGCAATAGCAGCAGCAACGCTTGCGGCTAATCCAACAAGTTCTACGGCTGCCACGGCCTCAACGTTCTTGTACGTTTTTATTGATCATTTGAGCATGTTTGCGAGTGCTTCCTGTATCATTAAATTATTACACAAGCGAGCTCGATTGGCTGCATCGTCTGTCCCTCGCTGTCTGTCCAACTGTCTGGCTGTCTCTCACAGCGTTTGTCTGTCTGTCTTGGCTCAGTGGATTTCACCACTGGCGACAAGTTGTTGGCCGTAATTGAAATGTGCAATAATTTGTCATCTAATCTAATTGTGACGCCGCTGCGTTTTGGCACGCGAGCAACACACACAACAACAAACACAAACACACACACACACACATGCACACACACATGCACACTGCTGCAGCTACAGTACTCACTCTTGCAGTGGCCGCGATAGGCGACCTCCAATTGGGCGTTGTTGGTGCGGCAGGCGCGTTTGCGCAGCTGGCATTCGGTATTGTAGGTGCGTCCATCGTTGCCGCAAACCGGATTCGTGTGCTGCTGATGTTGTTGTTGCTTTGGTTGTGGTTTCTGCTGAGAGTGGAGAATGCCGAGTGGAAAGTGGAGAGAGAGAGAGAGAAAGAGAGAGAGTGTGTGTATGTGTTAGTGCTGTCAATTTAACCATTTTCGCATAGTTCTATAATTATTTTAATCAACTTAGCTGTTCCTAAATATTTCAATAACATTATTATTATGTTTACTGTTTTACCTAGACTTAAATTTTTGTGTTAATCTAGAAATGTTTTTGCTATCGCTAGTAATACACACAATATCTATCTATATCTTCTGAAGCAAGTATGAAAAAATATATATATAT